GCGCCACCACGACTAGCTTATTTATTGAAGTGGGGGGTCTTGCTAACTTTTTGCCCAGGGTGGTCTTGACTCTGTCCTTCAGGTCTCTGTCTCCTGAGCAGCTGGAATTACAGACGATGAGCAACCATGCGCTTCCCTCAATGTGCTTTCTTTCTTTTTTCTACTTTTTTTTTCTTGGCGTACCGAGTTTAAACTCAGGGCTGTGCTCTACCACTTAAGCCCATACCTCCAGCCAAAAGTTACTCTCTTTCCCCCAATTTTTTTTCCTCAGTGGGTCATTGGCAAACCAAATTTGAAGAGTTTTGCTCACCTGGCAGTTCCTTTGAAGCATACAGGAAGTGGTAAGTGGAGTCAAAGTGACAATTTTCATTGAAAAGATTAGTGTGGCCTGCATGAGAATCTTAAAGTCCACATAGGGATGATTAGAACAAGGACTTCCACTTACCATGTCAGTAACTGACTGATCCACACAGGCCATCCGAATCAGCTCAGGCGTTGCTGGGCTACTCATGGGGAAAGTCTTGCTCAGCCCCTGTCTCTGCGGGCAGCCGTCACTGCGTCATATATGGCGAGCAGCACAGAGGACCCTAGGAACATTCCAGCCTCGCCCAATCCTTAGCGAATCATAAATGGCAGTCAGAAACACACACAGAGACACATTCATTCCCTTCTTCTGACTATCACCCCACGTGGAGTGCTTCTGAGGTACCACAATTGAACCCTTCTTAGTCATTTGTGATGCGGGGGTCCTCCTGTGAGTAGCACGTGCCACAATTCAGGCAACAGGACAGCAGCAGCTAAAACTCTTGTTCTCCTTCCCAGGTAAAGTCCTGAAGACCAAAGTCCTCAGTGCAGTACTCTTCAGGATACTCCAACCTTGCCTCCAGCCATTTGTCCTTTTTTTTTTTTTTTCTCAGTGCTGGGGATCGAACCAGAGCCTTTTGAAAGCAAGGCAAGTACTCTACCACTGAAGCCACATCACCAGCCCCCAGATCATTTGTCTTTAATTCAAAGCCAAAAGGAAATGACCACAATCTTTGCAGCTTCCCCTTCATGTGTGCTCACTCCCTCAGCCTGTGCTGGGTACCTGTGAATGAATGGCCACAGTTGAAGAAGGGGTGTGTGTGTGTGTGTGTGTGTGTGTGTGCACATTCATTCTTGAGAACCCTGCCTGCATAGGTCCTGGGTGGTTAAAGGCCACGTGCAGCAGGGAGCCTGGAGCTGACACCTCAGGATCAGTGGCTATGAACACCTCAGAGCAAAGGCCAGGGAGAAAGGTGCTGCCTGGGGAAGGATGAAGGAAGGGCAGCATGAGCAAGCACTGAGTCTGTGGGAAGTGGGCAGGAAAGGGAGCTCTGGGCTGAAGCAATTTGCATAGAAGGTAGTTTATCTCCTGGTGGCACTCAGCCTACTGAACCAAATATTCAGCAACTTCCTGACCTCTCTCATTTGAGTTACATTTGTTTCATGTCTCCCGTGAGAATGAAAAGCCTACTCTGGCTTCATCCTGCCAGGAGCATACTTTCGCCCCTTTGTCCTTTTGGGATTTGCAATTCAAGGGAGCAAGAAAATTCAGGGGAATGGCTAATGAGCTCTTGAAAGTGGAAGTTGTTATGGGATGAATTTTATCTGTCCTTAAATTCATATGTTGGAGTCCTAACCTCCATTACCTAGGCATGTAACTGCATTTGGAGACGAGATCTTTAAAGAGGAGATTAAGTTAAAATGAAGTCATTTGGATAGGCCCTACTCCAATGTGACTGGTGTCTTAAGGCACAGAAAATGAGACTAAGACAGATGGTTCTGTGGATGGAGGGATGGAGGAAGGCGGTGTGAAGAAACAGGGAGGAGAAGATGAAAACCATGTACAAGCCAAAGAGAGAGAACTCAGAAGAAATCAACCCAGCCAACACCTCTATGTTGGACTTCCAGGAACAAAAACTGTGAGAAAATTAATCTCTGTTTAAGCTACCCCAGTATGTGGTATTTTGTTATGGCAGCCTGAGCACCCTTATAAAAAGTATAAGGGTCTTACCTTGGATGAGTAGATGGCTATGGGATTTCGTGAGCGTACCAACGTGACATAGAACTCTTCTGGTATCTCAGTGACAGTAGGGATTTTGTAGTTATCTGGGCTCCGAGAATAAAGCACCCCTTCCAGGGAGTATTTCAGTTCTTCTGTGGTATATAACCCCATGCCTTGAATAAAGGCTCCCTCAATCTACGGCCAAAAATGTCACAGGTGAGAAGTATGCAAAACTGATTGAATAATTAGTCTAGTGTGAATGACAGTGGCGCTCTGGATTATAGTAAGCCATTCTTGAAGGTATTGCAGTGGACTTTACCAAAAGTCCTACAGGACCTCAGGTCTTTGTAAATGCAGTCTGTCCTGATTCTCCTCACCCATGCCACCTCAACGTGCCCACCTGGCAAACTCCGATTCACCCTCCAAGTTCCAAATGAAGAATGACCATCTCTCCGGAGCCTTTTGGATGATCCCATCACCCCTGGGGTGACTTTAGGAACTGCTTCTTCCAGACTCACTCCACCTCGAACTCACAACCCATTGTGGGAGCACTTGGAGGTTATTTTCCTTCTTCTCTCTCTTTCCTTCCCCCCACACTCTCTCTCATATTCTAATTATAAACACATGTTCGCTGAAGAAAAATTAGGTAATACAGAGCATGTACAATAAATGATATCTATTCCTGCCATGCAAAGACACTCATTGTTAGTGTTTTAAGTTTCTTTCAGTATTTTATCTCTGTGTGTGTACCCGTGCACACATGTATGTGTGTAATACATAACATACATTGCAGAATGCTTGCATGCAGCTTGAGCAAGGTTTGGAGGATGCTGACAATAGCTGCTGAATAGGATTGACAGATATCTCTATGGAGAAGGTTCTAGAATCACATACCTGTCCAATATCAAGGGCTGGGTTTA